GTGTGGGGTACATCAGGATGTTAAAGAGTGGGGTGTGGGGTACAACAGAGTTTTACAGGGATGGGTAGATGAAAACACATGCGCTAGAGCAGGATTAGTTCATTCAGTTTCTCAAGCTGGCTCTACCATTCAACATGATCATAGCTGATGTGATCGTAACATCAAATCTACATTGTCGCCAAACCTGATGACCTTTCACCCCCTCACATGACAAGAATCTATCCACCTATGCCTTGAAAATATTCAGGGAACCCCCCCGGTTATAAATTCTCCCATAAGGGGAAACACCCTTTCCACATTACCTTATTGAGACCCCAAGATTTTTTAAAAGTTTCTATAAAATCACCTCTTTTCTAAACTTGAGTGGCTACAAGCCTAGCCTTTCCTCGTAAGACACATTACAGGTAATTTTCTGACAAACCTTCCCTGAACTGCTCTCAACATTGAATCTCTACAGTGCAGAAATGGGCTGTTTGGCCTATTGGGGCTGCGCTGACCGTCCTATGAGCATCCCACCCAAATCTAGCCCTGTACCCTTTCCCAGTAACCCAGCATTTAGCACGGCTAATCCACCTAACCTGCACATCCCTGGACTGTGGGAGGAAGCCAGAGCACCTGACAGAAATCCATGCAAACACTGGGAGAGCATGTAAGCTCTACACGGACAGTCACCTAGGTCCTTAGCATTGTGAGGCAGCAGTGCTAACCACTGTGCCACCCATATTTACATCCTTCCTTAAATAAGGTAACAATGTAAGTTCACTAGCGCCCTGTATAACTAAAGCATAACACCCTGCTGTTATATTTAATTCTCCTCATGAAAAATAATAGCATTCCATTAGCCTTCCTAATTCAGAGCTCTGCAACCTCTCACATTTTAGATAATATGCTTTTTATGCCTCCTGCCAAAACAGGCAATTTTACGTTTTCCCACATTGTACTCCATTAGCCAGACCTTTGTCTGCTCACTTGATTCTACAAAAAAAAAAGATGGGTTTCAATCCAGATGGAAAAGCATGCTGATTCTCAAGCCCCATTACTCCCAGGGTCCTCACAAAAGCACCTAAAGACCTGTTTATTGAAACCACATTAACAGAAAATACTGATCAGGTTTCTGTACCTACTTAGAACTACTGTTTATTACAAATAAGTAAATTACAATCACAAGTAAACAGCAATGAACCATCAACAAATGGTTCTACTAGTTAAAACTCTAATCCCCTTTTAAAACTTTACACACACAAAAACAAACAAAAAAATTAGTTAAACAGTGGAGGGGAAGAAGTGGGAATCACAGTTCAATAGTACCAATCCATAGGGTTCATTGAGATGATCTTTTTGCTTGCCAAAACTTTATGTCCTTCCATCTCTTTTCATCAGGTTTCTTCACATCCTTGCATGAGGCACAGGGCAATTGGTACAGTAACTGCAAAGAGTGCTAGTTACTCATTAACAGCAACAACTTACAGCAACTGGTGGGAGAAAGTTTTCTTGAGTCTTCAGGTATTTCACTGCAGAGAGGAAGACACCATCTCACTTCCAGATATCCAAAGACTGCTCCCAATATCATTTACACCTACAAGGTGTGCAGCTGCCTAGGAACCAATCAGAGAGTTGTTATCAGGCTGAAGATATTTACTATCTACAACTGTTCCAATTGCATAAACCAATCAGCTACTTTTTGCTGGCCAAACCGCACTCTGCCTACATTCCTCTGGGTGCCAGGCCATTCACAAACAGCTTTCCCCCACTACCTGAACAATACAGAAAATAAAATTATATGGTTTTTACAGTAACCTCCATATGTCTACTGAATAACTTATTTTTCTACCAGCTTTGAGTAATTAGCAAATTTGGTAATTGTACCTTTAATCCCTTTATCCAAAATTATAAAAAGTTGAGATTCCAGCACTGATATCTATAGCACATCATTTGCTACACTTTGCCAACATGCAAAAGATCCATTTATACCTACTGTTAACATTGTTAGCCAACCAATCTTCCACCCACTTCAGTATGAGCAATAACCCTTGATATAGCATTTTTTCAACTGTATCTGGAAATATAAGTAAGTACGTCAACCAGTTCCTCATTTTTTCCTTTTTGGTCATTCTTTATTGGTTTATCTGTTTCAATTTTCTGATCTAATACCTGCCCGTGTGCAATTCTATGTTCTTTTTCTTTAAGGTTGATATTATCTATCAGATTTCTATTTAATCATGCCTGGTGGGACCATTCCTCGCAATTTTTCTTACTCTTTGGAATGTATCTGTTCTGTCTGTTTGAAAATATCCCCTTAAACGTCTGGCACTGCAACTCTCTTGATTTACCCTTTAACCTAATTTACCAGTTCACCTTGGCCAGCTCTGCTTTCACATTGTCATAATTTACCTTATTTAGAGTCATAGAATAATACAGCATGGAAACAGCCCTTTCGGCCCAAACTGGTCCATGCTGACCATGGTGCCCACTGAGTTGGTTCCAATTGCCTGCATTTGATCCATATCCCTCTAAACCCTTCTCATCCGTGTACCTATCCAAATATTTTTTAAAGGTTGCTATTGTACCTGACTCCACCACCTTCTCTAGCAGCCCATTCCATATGTGTACCACTCTCTGCATGAAGAAGTTGCCCCTCAGGTCCTTTATAAATCTATTCCCTCTCACCTTAAACCTATGCCCTTCAATTCCCCATCCCTGGGAAAAAGACTATATGAATTCATCCTATCTATGCCCTCATGATTTTATACACCTTAATATGGTCACCCCTCATTCTCCTACATTCCAAGGAATAAAGTCCTATCTTGGCCAACCTTTCCCTATAACTCCGGCCTACTAGTGCTGGCAACATCCTTTCTTCTCTGCATTTAATTTTTTTTAAAAACTGTCTAAGGCCCAGTCCTGTCTCCCTGAATGTAAACTAAATCATGTTCTGGTCACTGCTACCTAGTTTTCACAATGAGATCATTCATTAGTCCTATCTCAAAAACCAATACCAAGTCTAATATAACCTAAAGATCTCCGGACCTGAAATGTTAACTCTGATTTCTCTTCACAACTGCTGCCAGACCTGCTGAGTTTTTCCAGCAACTTCTGTTTTTGTTTTTAAAATAACCTATCTCTGGTTCCAGGATATGCTGTTTTAAGAAACTATCCTGATTTACTGTGAACTGTCAGCTATGCTATCTTTGCCCATTTGAATCTTCCATTGTATATATGTAGATTAAAATCTCCCATGATTATCATCATGCCTTTCTGAAAAGCTCTGAGCATATTTTTGTTTATGCTCCATTCTGTTCTATGTTTCGTAATTTATCATGCTCAAACATCTTGACACAACACTCCCAATTCCACTTTTATTTCCAGTCAAGATTCCTTCTATACTTTATAGGATAGAGATTTCAACTGATTAAGAAAGAACAAAGAACAGTGCAGCACAGGAACAGGCCCTTCAGCCCTCCAAGCCTGCACTGTCACATATTGCCCTTCCGTACTAAAACTGTCTTCACTTACGGGATCCGTATCCCTCTATTCCCTTTCTGTTCATGTATTTGTCCAAATGCTTTGTGAAAGCTGCTATTTTATCTGCTTCCACCACCTCCTCTGGCAGCACGTTCCAGGCACTCACCACCCTTTGTGTGAAAAACTTGCCTCTCACATCTCTTTTAAACCCCCCCCCCTCGCATCTTTAACCTGTGTCCCCTAGTAATTGACCCCTTCACTCTGGGCAAAAGCCTCATACTTTCTACTCTATCCATGCCATTCACAATCTTATAAACTTCTATCAGGTTGCTCTTCAACCTCCTGTGTTCAAGTTAAAACAAACCCAGTCTATCCAACCTTCCTTCGTAGCTAAAGTCCTGCATACCAGGCAACATCCTGGTAAACCTTTTCTGTACCCTCTCCAAAGCATCCACATCCTTCTGGTAGTGTGGTGACCAGAACTGGATGCAATATTCCAAGTGTGGCCTAATTAAAGTTCTATAAAGCTGCAGCATAACTTGTCTTTCCTTATACTCAGTGCCTCTTCCAATGAAGGCAAGCATGCCATAGGCCTTTTTTACTACCATATCTACCTGCGTTGCTACTGTCAGTGATCTGTGAACCTGCACAGCCAGATCTCTCTGCATATCAATACTTCTAAGGTTATGCTGTTCACTGTATAATTTCCACCTGTACATGACCTTCCAAAATGTGTAACCTTACATTTGTCTGGATTAAACTCCATCTGTCTTTTTTCTGCCCATGCCTCCAACTGAGCTATATCCTACAGTATCCTCTGACAAACCTCCTCACTGTCCGTAACTCCAACAATCATTGTGCCGTCTGCAAACTTACTAATTAGACTAACTACATTTTCCTCCAAATCGTTTATGTAGATCACGAACAGCGGAGGTCCCAGCACTGATCCTTGTGGAACACCACTAGTCACAACCCTCCATTCCGAAAAGCATCCTTCCACCACTACCCTCTGTCTCCTATGACTAAGTCAGTTCCGTTTCCATCTCGCCAGCTCACCCTGATACCATGTGACTTCACCTTTTGTACCAGTCATCTTCCAAATCATTCCTGTAATTCTCGGACCCACATAACTAATGTGAACACTTATATAGACAATGTAAACTTCTCATATCCATTATGCATGCTTGAGAGCCCAAATTTTTGTTGAAACAGCTTTTATATTCTGCCATTAATCCCCACAATTAACACCCACTCTAGGTCTATCTCCCTTCTCTACAACCATTACCACTATCTTGGCTTTTTGTCTGCGACACACGTGCTCTCTAATATTCTTCTCACCTTCAGTTCTGAAGAAGAGTCATATTGGACTTGATATATTAACTTTCTTTTTCCATCCACAGATGGTGCCAGACCTGCTGAGTTTCTCCAGCATTTTCTGTTTTCATTTCAGATTTCCATCATCCAATAGTATTTTGCTTTTGTAAAAGAATGTCCTGTCCTATTCATAATAGTAATCTGAATCTGTTTCCAATCTTCAGCCAAACAGAACCAGCTCTTGACCCAGGATGGCTTCATGATGTACCTGCTTTCCCCTGATGGGGATGTGTTTAACTCAGACCATGACAAAGTTTACCAGGACATGACCCAGCCACTCAGTCAGTACTTCATCTCCTCTTCCCATAACACCTATCTGATGGAGGACCAGCTGGGAGGACCAAGCAGTACTGAGGCATATATTAGGTAGCTATAATCAACTTCTCATTTGAAATATTTATTCTTTAGCTCAGTCCCAGTTTAACAGAGTTGGACCCAAAGTATTAAATCAGGAATGTGATGGAATACTTTTCAGTTGCCTGGATGAATTGAGCTGCGACAACACTCGAGGAGCTCAACACTATTCGAAACAAACCAGCCACTTGATCGGTACCTGATCCTACACCTTACACCTCTCTGTCAACTACCAAAGCTTAGTTGCAGTGTGTGTACCACCTACTAGATGCCAAGGTTTCTTCAACAACATCTTCCAAATCTGTGACCTCTGCTATCTAGAATTTTAAGGACAGAAGATACATAGGAGCACCATTACCTGCAAGTTCCCCTCCAAGCCAGTCACCGTCCTGACTTGGAAATATATCACTGTACCTTCAGTGTCATTGGCTCGAAATCTTGGATCTCCCTCTCTAAGGGGATTGTGGCTCTACCTACAGAAGACAGTTCACCATACCATTTCAAGGGCAAATAGGAATGAGCAATAATTATTGGCCCAGCCAGTGATATTCAAATCCCTTGAAGGGTCCAGACCTGAAATGTCAGCTTTCCTGCTCCTCTGATGCTGCCTGGCCTGCTGTGTTCATCCAGCTCTACACCATGTTATCTCAGACTCCAGCATTGGCAGTTCGTACTATCTTTTAAAAATATGTCCCTTCTTTGGCACCAACTGAGAAAATTAGTCAGGGCTCACGGTATCAAAAACCTCTGTGCTTTTGGTACTTCCATTTTATACATATATTTAGCCTGCTGTTGCCCTAATGCCCAGCATTATTTTTAAAAATTGTCAGGATATGGAAACCAGTTGCATGGTTGGCATTTGTTTCCTGTTCCTCCTGTCCCCTGAGAAGATGCTAGTGATGGTTTCTTGAGGGTGAAGTTTAATGAAGATTCACCCAGCACTGTTAGGTAAGGAATTGTATGATTCAAACTGGGTAACAACGAAGGAATGATTGTGACTCGTAGGTGTTCTGTGCACCTGCTGTCCTTCTCCTTCGAGGTAGTGGAGGTGCTTATTTGGAAGGTGCTGTTGAAGGACCTTAGGTGAGTTGCTGCGGTCCATTATATAGCTGGGTCACACTGCTGTCTTTGTGTTCTGGATGTTGAAGGTGTGAAGCAAATGGGGTGCAAATGTGCTTTGACGTGGATGGCATTAGATTTCCTTAGTGTTGGAGCTGAACTCAACCAGGTGAGTATACAATCACACTGCTGACTTGTGCCTTGTCGATGGTAGACAGGCTTTGGGCAGTCAGGGTGTGAGTTACTCACCACAGAATTCTCAGACTTTGACCTGCTCCTGTAGGCCATGGTATTTATGTGGCTGGGTCAGTTCAGTTTCTGATCAATGGTAACCCCCAGGATGTTGATAGTGGGAGGTTCGGTGATGAAAATGCCATTGAATATCAAGGGGCAATGGTCAGGTTTTCTGTTGGAGATGGTTAAATGTTTAGTAGCTGTGTGGTGCAAATGTTATTTGGAACTTATCAACACAAACCAGTCTGGAGTGTTGCCAGGGTCCTGCTGCATATGGACAGAGACATTGTAAGTTGAGAGATTGTGCATGACTACAGCATTATTGCTTCAATGTTTTGAGAAGATCAACAAAGTTTATAATTACTGGATAACTCTCCTGTTAACTGAACATTATCTGTGATCATTATTGACCCAACCATTTTGGTTTATCTGACCTCCACAACATGCATCGCCTAGACATTGGTAGAGAAAGCTACTTTGTGGGAGGGATGACATTGTTACCAGGTTATTGAAACTAGGAACTAAATGTTCTGGAGTATGTGACTTTTTGAAAGGAAGGGAATGGCGGTGGCTTTGTTAGTATGAGTTGACATTAATATGTTAGCAAGAAATGGTCTTGAATTGTATGACATACAATCGATATGGGTGGAGTTAAGAAAAAACAAAGGGAAGAAGACACCGGTATGATTAATCTAAAGGCCCCCTAACAGTCACTGTTCTTTAGGATAGAGAATAATCAGGAGATAGTGAGAGCATGTAAAATGGCAGTGTAACTTGGGTAACTAAGATTGGGAAAATCAAATTGGCAGAGGTAGCCAAAAGGATGAATTCTAGGAGTGTATTTGGAACAGTTGCCTACAGCAGTATGTGTGGATCCAATGAGGAAAGCATGTGGCCATGTGCAATGTGGCAGGTTTAATAAATGATTTGAAAATAAAAGATCGCTCTAGGGACTAGTGACCACGACATGGCAGAATTTAGCATTCAGTTTGAGAGGAGGAAACTTGGGTCAGAAACAACTGTGCTCAACTTAAGTAAGGATAATTTCATGAGAATGAGGACAGGGCTGACTAGAGTGAAATGGGAAAGGAATTCAGCAGAAAAAACAATTGAAAAGGAAAGGCAGACATTTCAAAAAGCATTCATGACTTTCAACAAGGATATATCCCAGTGAGGAAGAAGGATTGTATGAAGGGGACAAACTACCATGGTGACCCATACTAGGATATTGTGGACAGTATCAAATTGAAAGAAAAATTTCACTGTGTGGTAAAGATTAATGGTAAATCTGACGATTGGGAAAATTGGGATTTTAAAATTCAACAAATGACAACCAAAAAACAAATGAGGAGAAAATAAACTGGGGTGTGGTGGTGGAGGAGAAACCAGCAAGTAACATAAAAACAGTGAGAGATAGCAGAACTGCCGATGCTGGAGTCAGAGATAACACAGTGTGGAGCTGGAGGAACACAGCAGGCCAGACAGCATCAGAGATTGGGAAATTCTTCAGAATTCTGGTTCTTCAGAGATTCTTCAGAAAGGGTCCTGACCGGAAACGTCAGTTTTCCTGCTCCTGTGATGCTGCCTGGCCTGCTGTGTTCCTCCAGCTCCACACTGTGTTATCTATAAAAACAGTGAGGACTTCTTTAAATATATGAAAAGAAAGATAGGTGCAACAGTAAACGTAGGCACCTAAGAGAACAAGGCTGAGCAAATAATAATGGGAAGCCAGAAAATAGCAGATTTGAACACATACTTTGCATCTTCATGGTAGAGAATACCAATGGCATTCCAAAAATACAAAATAGTCAAGATGCTAAAATGGTTGGGGCTCAAGGTGGGCGGTGTGCAGCAGGGGAGACAGAGAGAGAGAGCAGAAATAAATATAAGAATTTTCACTAGACAAAAAGTACTAGTGAAACAAATGGGGCTAAAGTCTGATGAGCCCCCTGACCCTGATGTGTTGCAGCCCAGAATTTTAAAGGAATTAGCCGTAGAGACAGTCGCTGCACTAGTAGTTATCTTCCAAGATCCTTAGATTTGGGAAAAATCCCAGAGGATCGGAAAATTGCCAATATAACAAGATTAATCAAAAAGGGAGCAAGACAAAAAAACAGGTAACTATAAGTGAGTTAGCCCAACATTGGGAAGATGTCAGAGTCAATTATGAAGGATGTAATACAGAGCATTTAGAAGCATGTAATAGAATCAAGCAGAGTCAGCATGGCTTCATGAACGTGAAATCATTGACAAATTTATTACAGTTCTTTTGAGAAAGGAACGAATAGGTTACATAAGGGGTCACGAGTACATGTGATATATTCGGACTTTCAGAAAGCGTTTGATAAGGTATCACACATTAGGCTATTTAATAAAATAGAAGTCCATGATGATGGCAATAATATATTAGCATGTTTAGGGGATTGACTTACTAATAGATGATGGACAGTTAGGATAAAGGGGGCATTTGCAACCTGTAACTAATAGAGTGCCACAGGGATCAGTGCTGAGACCATAATTATTTACCGTATATATTAATTACTTGGATGAGGATAGTGAATGTACTTGAGCCAAGTTTGCAGATGACACAAGAATAGGTGGGAAACCAATTCCTGAGGATGGCACAAGGAGCCTGCAGCAGGATCTAGACAGGTTAACTGAGTGGGTAAATGCTTCTTCCTTTGTGGGAGAATCTGGGGCCAGAGGGCATAATCTCAAAAATAAAGAATCACCCACTTAAGGCAGAGATGAAGAGGAGTTTCTTCACTCAGAGGGTAGTGAATCTGTATAATTCTTTGTCATAGGGGGCTGTAGAGGCTGGATCATTTAATATATTCAAAGCTTAAATAGACAGAGTTTTGAATCTGGGAAGAATCAAGGGTTGAGGGGGTAAGACAAAAAAAAATGGAGTTGAGAATTATCAGACCAACCATGGCAGGGCAGAGCAGACTTGATGGGCTGAATGGTCTACTTATTGCTTTTGTAATTTACAATCTTGTAATAATCCCATAATCATAGAGGAAAGAAGAGAAAGGGAGAGGGGTCAGGGACCAGTTAAGATCACATCACTGATCTGCCAGAGAGTCTCTTAGATATTCCACTCTGGGAAATCAGGTTCAACTCACTGTCAGAAGCATCTGTATACCTGTGTTGGGGCCTACATTGTATATCGGTGAGCCTTCCTATGAAAGGTTTGGTGGCACCTATTAATATGCAAAAGTATAACCTGAGCCCTGGTCTGCATTGTCACCCCCTGGATGAGGCTTGGGCTGTAGCTTCTCTGCTGTCTACTCAATAAAAACCAAATCCCACACCAACAAACAAAACCAAAGCCCGCACCTTCAGGTGAAGGCCAAGGTGACAGATCCAGTCCTGATGAGGAGAGTTGTCCCTCAGCCTCGCGCCAGGCTGTTGTCCACATCAGTAACACAGGTTTCTCCCAGAAAACTGGAACTTCATTTCTGGTATTAGTGAGTTATCATGAGTGAGGAGAATGAGGGTGTCTGGGATGGGAAGACAGAGTCCAAGCAGATACAGTGAATGGAATGCATCCACTCCTCTCCTCTTCGCCCTTCCTTCAGCAACTCTTCAACAATGAAACAATGCAAGTTGCTGTGTGGAGATGGTCTTTCTTTTCTATGTCGTTTTTATGTATAAATTCTGCATTTGGTTACTATTGAATGGCCTGCTTCTACACTGTAGGGATTCTATGACGATTCTATTTGGCCGAAATATAGAAGTCCAAATCTGAATGGTTTTCTTGCAATCTGGGTTGCAAATATTGAATCTTTCTCCAAAATATGTATTTCTTGTCATTGTGTATGATGAAATGTACAGGACCTGGTAATCAGGCAGTTGCTTAAATCAGTGTTATTGTCTGCACAGGGATATTATCTGGTTAAATTAAAAATACTACATGATGCTGTTTAAATAAAATTGAATCTCTAGTTTGTTTTATGGCAGGGCGAGGTCACCTGTAGTGGGTATAACATGTGTTGCAGACCTGACCACTACTGGCAATTTCTGTTTTTGTTACTACCGACTATTGGTTGTGGTACAGAGTTGTCACCCTACTACTCCTTTAAAGCATTTTCTTAATATTGCCTCTAGTTCTTTTAGATCATTTTTAATCAACCTGTTCAGACATGACACACCAAGTAGGACTTGAATCTAGACCTCCTGACTCAGAGGTAGAGGCACTAACAGTGTTCTACAAGAACCCGTTGCTACTTTTCTATACTGTGTCTAAGATCCGGTTTGGTTAATATTGATAGAGGATGGACTACTGGAGAGTCTTCATAAGATAAAGAACCTGTCTTAACCACAGGATGTAGTTTATTACATGATAGCAATGAGTGCTAGGTTGCATTAGCTAGTTAGAGACAATTACTACAACTGTCAGGAGCTAGGGGAGTCAGGATCTGGAATTGGACTCCTTATACCCCGTCCAAGACTGTCAGATTGGGTGGACCTCAACACAATCTCCAACATTAACCTATTCAAAACCATTACCTTATACAACGGTGTTGGGGGTGGGGGGCGGTGGGACAGAGGGGAGAACAAATGATTCTATTATTGTTAATGACTCATGCTGTGTATATATCACACAATAATGTAACTAGATGCCAGCAATGGATGTTATTATTTTATGAGAATCTTTCGGCTATTGTTTGGTGAAATGATTGGTGATTTATGTTATAACATTTTTGTTGGAGACTGGATGTGGTTAAGTAAATCGGTAGCTCCAGAAATGTTGTGGCAAATAGAGGGCCAATGGTTAGATACCGTAGTTGGGATTTTGAAAGTGACACTGCAAGTGAATTAAGTGATAGATTTTTCCTGTGAAGTCGAGGCATAAGGAGATCGGTTTGGGGACTGCGAGGGAATATGGCAGGAGAGTGATGTAAGTGATCAAAAATGGCCTTATCTCCAATTGAAGCTATGGGAGCAGTGAAACCATGTGAGATGGTAAGGTCAAGGAGGGGGAATGTGAATGTGGTTTGGGGCATTTTCATGCAGAGAGAGAGAGAGATTTTAAGATGCTCAGAGGGCAGTGAAATGAGAGGAGGGAGAGTTGGATGAGTTGAGATGGAGGTTGAAATCACTGAGAATGTAAAGTCATTTGGGTTAGGGGCTGAGGAAGGAACGCAGAGAAGAAATCTCAGTGGGAACATGTTTCATTGTACTTGGGAGAGTGAGAGAGAATGAGGAATATCTATGGAGCTAAGCATGAAAGAACAAGGTGAGATGCTTAAAGGGAAAGGAGATGGCAGAGGAGCAGAAGTGGGGTCCAGGTGTGAGTTAATGAGAAACCTCACTATGATTGCCTTAATGGGATGAAAAATGTAGCCAGGTGGACACATTGTCAGGGGTGAGATGTCATACCCCCTCAACCAAGTTTCTGTTAATCATCCTCAATAAGTGTATAGATGGCAAGGACCTTGTTCACAAATGAGTGGACCATCTAGAGGGAGGTCTGTTGAGGGGAAGCGAGCATTGATCCACTGGTAGAGGATCAGCAGTCGGAGGAGGGAGCTAGATAGGAAGAAGACTGTCAGGATTAGCTCCCCGCCAGTAGATTGGAAGCAACAGGCTGGAAGGCAACAGAGTGGATTGGAACAGTTGGGTTGTTGCCCATAGTGAACCTGTGCTGAATGCCTCAATGAACTCTTCAGAGGATCACAAAATAGGCAGAGGGAAAGCTGTTACTCCAACAGAAGGGAGCAGCTGTGGATCCTCAAGGGATGGTGGTGAATTGTGGTACTGTCATTGGACAAAAAATCCAGAGTCCCAGGTTAATGCTCTGGAGAAGTGGATTTGAATCCCACCTCAACAGATGGTCGTGTGAATTTAGTTAATAAATGTGAAATTACAGTGGGGCCACCAAGCCATTGAAGTACACCACCTAGAGTACATTCTATGTCTTTGCCACCCTCAGTGCATCCTCTGGGTGCTGTTCAGCATGAGGAATACTGACCAATCAGCCAAATGGGACAGGGCAGTAGGTGGTAATCAATAGGAGGTCTCCTTGTCCAGATTTGACCTGATGGCGTGAGACTTCATGTGGTTTGGAGTCAGTGCCGATATACATCGTATCGGGTGAGCCTGTCCTGTTGGTGGGTTCGTGGTGTCTTACACATTGCTTGGAAGGTGTGATTCCATGAGATTGACTATTTCAGGCAGTTGCTTGACTAGTCTGTGGGACAGACCCAGGTGTTAGTAAGGAGGCCTGACAGATGAGCCATTGGTGTTTTCTGGTGTTGTGGTCAATGCTAGTGGACAATCGAGTTCCATTCCTTTTTGCAGATGTGGTAGTAGCTTGATACAACTGATCGTGCTTGTGCCATTTCAGAGCATATTTAAGAATCAATCACTTGGCTCTGGAGGCACAAGTAAGTTCGACTAGGAGAGGATGGTAGATTTTCCTTCCCTAAAGGGGACTAGTGATGAATTTTACAGTTGACAATGATTTCATAGTTATCGATACACTTGACATCATCCAGGACAAAACAATCAGTTTGATTGGCTCCCCGTCCACCACCTTCAACATTCACTCCATCCACAATCAAAGGATTGAAGCAACTATGTGTTCTGTCTACAAGATGCACTGCAGAAATTCACCAATACATCTTAGGCAACACCTTCCTAACCAACAAGCACTTCCATCTAGAAGGGCAAGGGCAGCAAATATCTAGGAACACCACCTCCTGCAAGTTCCCCACCAAGTCACTCACCACCCTGACTTGGAAATATATCGCCATTCCTTCAGTGTTGCTGGAACTAAATCCTGGAACTCCTTCCTTAACCGCATTGGTTCGTCTGCCTACAGCACATGGACTGCAGCAGTTCAAATTAGCAACATGCTACCACTTTTACAAGAGTAATTAGGGATGGGTGATAAATGCTGGCCCAGCCAGCGATCCCACATGCTGTGAATGAATGAAACAAAATGAGAACAATGAACTGAAAAATTGCTGAAATTTTTGAAAGGTCAGCAGTTTGTTTTGTCTTTAATCTTATGCAAACAGCCAACAATTGATCCAGAACTTTGTAAAATGAATAGCACATTAAAATGAGAAGATGGTAATAACTGTGAGAGGCCTTACCCTATTTCACGTCTGACCTGTGACTCTGGGTGTTTTCAGAGCTCTTCTGAGAGGCTGCCGCTGTGTGGAGCTGGACTGCTGGGAAGGACCAAATGGGGAGCCAATCATCTACCATGGATACACGCTCACCTCAAAAATCCTCTTCAAAGACGTTATCCGAACCATCCGGGATTATGCCTTCACGGTGAGTGCACTGGAATCATTCTGATGATAGAGTCTGTTGATAGAGTCTGACAATAGGGATCATTCCCAGTGACCGGAGTAAACCCAACTTGTTGGGGAATCAGAAAAAGTGGTATAATTTTCAACCTTGAACTAGACCAATCTGTGAAAGATGAGGAAACACATCTTTACAGAACGTGTACTATTTGGGAACACTCTTCCAAAAGTCCTGAGATGTTGTGGGTGATTGGGTCTTTCAAGACAGTGCAAGATCTATTAAGTAAGAGAAATGAAGGTAAGCAGCGTTTCTAAGATGTTGGATTTTACACGATCCCCTGCCTCTGGGTTTGAAGGGTGGAGCTGGGGACAAGTAAAATCCAGAGTCTGGAGAATCCATCACTAACCAGCCCCTCCCCAGTTTGAAATTTTGAGGGAGATGGGGAAGGCATAGATGTCCCTGTTTTGAGCTAATTGAGGGCCTGATCCAACAGTTTGCTGACCCTTTATCCCAATGGCAGAGGGGAGCTCTCCGCTATGTGAGAAGCCCAGAAGCTTTAACTGCTCAGGGGACAAGGTGAGGTAGAGCCTGCTTTCAGGGGCCTCTCCATCCCCACCCATTACCCTATTTATTGGGCTGCCTCTCTCCTGATCCCTCTATCTCTCTATCAATCTATACCTGTTCCTCCCAATTTCATATTCACTCTCCACTTCCCCCAATCCTAGTCTCTTCTGTCCTGTGATCCCTCCTTTCTCCTGATGCCTCTCTATTGTACTGATTTCACTCTCTGTCTCTCTCTCTCTCAGTTATTCCTTCTATTGTGATCTCCCTCTCTTGCTTGAACTTCCGCTCTCATCTGAACTTCCCCTGCTCCCGGATCGAATGTCTTCTTTCATTTGTGACCACATCATGCTGGCAGGGAGGGTTGCTGCTGCTGATGCAGTAGCTTGAAGTTTGAAGTCTATTAGCTACTGCCTGATGTGTTCTCTGGAGTTTGGTGGACTCTGGTATATTAACACTGGGACTGGTTCTCATTGAGAACAAGTATCAGAAGGTTAATTCATGGGGCACTGTACACTACAGCTCTACCACAGGCTTTTGCACAGATGAGGATCAAGCTGGTTGATTTCAGTGACTTTCCTCTTCGTGCTGGATCTGGAACCTTTATACAAGAGGTATCACATGGCCTGGTGCCACACTGATGTCACAACATCTGCTCACCAGCCTTCCTACATGTACCTGCTGCCGACCTAGTCCCTGAGACCCCCTCCTGCTGCTGACCTAGGCCCCGAGACCCCCTCCTGCTGCTGACACAGTCCCCAGGATCCCCCTCCTGCTGCTGATCCAGTCCCCAGGATCCACTTCTGCTGTTGACCTAGTCCCCAAGACCCTTCCTGCTGCGCACCGAGTCCCCGAGACCCCCTCCTGCTGCTGACCCTGTTCCTGAGACCCCCCCTCCTGCTGCTGACCCTGTTCCTGAGACCCCCCTTCTGCTGCTGACCAAGTCCCCAGGAACCCCTTCTGCTGACTCAGCCCCCGAGATCCCACTTCTGACCACCCAGATCCCAAGATCCCCTTGCTGCTGACTGAAATCCTGAGAAACCCCTGCTTCTAACCCAGTCCCTGCTTCTAACCCAGTCCCCGAGAACCCCCTGCTTCTAACCCAGTCCCCGAGAACTCCCTGCTTCTAACCCAGTTCCCGGGATCCCCCTGCTACTGACCCAGTCCATGGGATCCTCCTGACCCTGACACAGTCCCTGCCTCTGCCCCAGGCATTCTGCTGGACTGGTGCCCGTGACAAGCCAGACTTTGAGCAGGAGGATGTGTGAACTTATTCAAAGATTGCAATCTCAGTAAATTGCTCAAAGAACAGGAAACAAGAGGGTGTTGGATCTGAATAAAGCCTATTTCCTGCATTAAAAAACTGACCGATAACTGCTGCCAGACAATTTAAACATTGTTTTTATTAAAATGAAAATTGACTGCAGGCTATTTAAAATCTAAAATGCAGCCAGATATCTGTCACTTCCCCATATAACCAATGGGGCAAGATGAGCAAGCACTGCATTAGGCTAAGCCAGTTTCCTATGACTTAAATTTATATTCTGTTTATGTTCTTGGATCCCAAACCAAAGTTAAATGGATCTGACCCTGAAACAGGGAGGATTTGGGGACCCAGTGTCACCTCATTCAGACCAGGTCCAATCACATTATCGATTATGACAGGTGGTGAGGTCATCAGCCCCATGCTGAAACCATTGCCACCCCATTAACACCGGACAAAGGGGGTTAATATTGAGCACATTGATCTCATTAGTCACAGTGCACACTGTATAGTCACAGACCATTGTACAGTCACACAGCCCCATATGGTCACACTCATTGTACAGTCATATGCCAACTGTACAGTCACACCCCACTGTACCGTCACACACCCAATGTACAGTCACACATCATGCAATCACACACCACTGTGCAATTACACCCACTGAATCGTCATGTACCCCTATACAGTCACACCTACTGTACAGTCAAACACAACTTTCAATTACACGCCTACCATACAAAAATGATCACACCTACTGTGCACACTCACTGTACAATCACACACCCAAAGAGGCGTACAGCACGGAAGGCCTGTCGGCCCAACTTGTCCGTGCTGACCAGGTTTCCTAAACTGAACTAGACCCACTGTAAATACCTACTGTATGCACTTATTCTACAATCATGTGCCCAACGTACACACTGACTGTTCATACCTGCTCTACATGGCCACTGTACACACTCACTGTACAATCACGTGCCCAACATACATATCCACTGTACAAATAGACCCATTGTAGAAACGCACACCCACTGTACAATCACACATTTATTGTACTGAATAATTGAAAGATCCAATTATATGTCTAAGCAAAGTTGCTAATGGCAGAAATGAAATGCAAAAAGATTTTATGTTTATCACATAATGAGAATTATGAAGCCGTTTCCTGTCCTGGAGTATAACCAAATTTCAGATGTTTCTTGTTAAATTTATTTGCCAAATAAACATTCAGAGCTTTCTGGAGTTGCCTATGGTTGGCTGATGTATGGGATCCTCTTGAATTATCTCCCCAGGTCTCTCCGTATCCCGTCATTCTGTCCCTGGAGAATCACTGTGGAGTGGAGCAGCAGACAGTCATGGCCCGGCATTTAAAGGAAATCCTCGGTGAAATGCTGGTAACTGCACCACTCGATGGCAAAGTCCTGAGTAAACTTCCGTCACCCGAGGTAACTGTGTGGCCATTCACTTTGTCATATCTCACTGTGTAATGACCTTGCAAGGGGAAGGTGATAACCAAGTGCTACTATCACTAAACTAGTAATCTGGGGACCCAGGTTCAAATTTGTATCCAAAAATATTTGGAATTAAAAGTCTAATGATGATCATGAAACTATGTTGATTTTTGTAAAAGCCCATCTGGTTCACTAGCACCTTTTGGGGAAGGAAATTTATTGTCCTTATCTACCTTACCTGTGATCCAGACAACAAAGTCGAGTGTTTACCACCAGTTTGTCTTGATTTTGAAGGAGGATAAATTCAGCTCCAGTTACAACTAGTTGCTTTAGAGAACCACTGGCTGAAATGACCAGATCAGATGGGACTGCAGCTCAAGGAAGTATTCAAGGTCACCTGGTACATGCTGCACAAATTTATCAGTTAGAAAGAGGAATCCTTTTTCTATAGCATGTGGACTGCAGAGGCTCAAGAAGGCAACTCACCACCACTTTCTCCTCCAGGGCATCTAAGGCCAGGCAATACATGCTGGCCCAGCCCACTTCTGATGAGTGAATTAAAAAAAAACAATTGGACAGCTCTTTTGATGAGCCAGCACAGACAGAAGCTAGTTTCTGTGCTCCTCTGAATTCACTGAGGCACCTGAATCTCCTTTCTGGTTGACACACTGTCAGTCACAGAGATGTTGAAACTGACCCATAACATTGATAAGGATAATTCAGACCCAGTGCAGCAGACAGATCAGAACAACTTCAAACAGTGAGCAGGGACTGATTTGTTCCCTCAATGCTTAGGCATTTGTGGGAACCACATTGTGACTTTACAAAAATATTGCAGACTGCTGACTGTAAATTCCATCACGATAACTCTAACCTGGATTTCCATGCAAGTGGCAGTAGCGTGCACAGGACTGAAACATTATACCTCACCATTCCACTTGCAGCTAGAATATGACTAAGTTTCAACTTACGCACTGCTTGACACCTTTGAAGTGGAGTAGCAAATGGTGTGAAATATTAGACCTGTGACTTGTACCAGATTTCCATTAAAAGACTTCAGTCAGTTCAAACTTCACTTATACCTCAAGGCATTACAAGCAACAGTTACATGAATTGTGCACTGGTGTCCTTCAGGGCAGAAGTAGGATAGTCATTGGTGTCATGTGGTTATCCAAGAGACGGAATAGTAAGGTCAGCATTCCTGCTCGTTGCTGGGCTGCAGTTGCATAGGTGTTTTCCCCAATATTCAGACCTTGGCTAGTCCTAATGTGACGCTCGAGACAAGACTCTCGAGTAAAGCCCCTAAATGGTTTAATAGATTGTTCGACTGATTATCCAATTGAGTAACAAAGGACCTATTTGACCTGGATGGGTGGTGGGATTGATGGATGTGGCTGAGTTAGCAATGGCTGGACTGGAGGGGCTGGCAGTAGTGGTGCGGAATATGATGGGTCATTTAGAACTGGCAGGTCATGTGCTGTGGGGCAGAAGACGTCTCTAGAGACATAGTACAGCAAATGTTTTATTAGCTGCTATGGAACCAGGAGTGTGTCGGTTGATCAAATAATCAGGATGATCAACAAGTACACATAACCGCAGCAAACCCTGATTAAGCGAAAGTTTGAGACATCAATATCCCTGCAAAAAGCCTATGTAAAAACATCAACACCTCCTAAAATCAATGGAAAAACACACAGTAAGTAGTAGAAACATAATGCAGGGAGTATACACAATACTGTTTTACTTTATTTATAGCATAAATACACAGACGTTGCAGCAGTTTGTGGTATTTATAACGTTGTGCCAGTTTATCAAGAGTGCTGGTTAATAAGGTGCCAGTTAAAATAAAGGTTGCTGTAAAGGAAGCAGAAATAGGCCATTAATCCCTTCAAGCCTGCTGTGTCATTCAATATGGCCGTGGCTGAACGTCCAACTCAGTACCCTGCTTCCACTTTCTCCTCATGCACCTTGATCCCTTTAGCCCTAAGACCTATACCTAATTCCTTCTTGAAATCATTCAATGTTTTGGCCTCAATCACTTTCTGTTGCGAAGAGTTCCACAGGCTCACCACGCTGGGTGAAGAAATTTCGCCCCATTTCAATCCTAAACAGTCTACTCAAAATGCTGATTTTGGACTTCCCACTGATCAGGAACATCCTTCCTGTGTTTAACCTGACTAATCCTGTTAGAATTTTATAGATTTCTATGAAATCCCCTTCAATTTTCTAAACTCCAGTGAAGGTAGCCCTATAAGGGCAGGCGATGGCCTAGTCGTATTATCACTGGACTGTTAATCCAGAGACCCAGATAATGTTCTGGGGACCTAGGTTTGAATCTCGCCATGGCAGATGGTGGAAATTGAATTCAATAAATATCTGGAATTAAGAGTCTAATGATGACCATAAATCCATTGCCGATTGTTGGGGAAAACCCATCTGGTTCACTAATGTCCTTTAGGGAAGGAAACTAGTATCCTTGCCTGGTCTGGCCTACATGTGACTCCAGATCCACAGCAATGGGGTTGACTCATAACTGCCCTCTGGGCAATTAGGGATAGGCAATAAATGCTGCCTCACCAGTGACGCCCTTATCCCATGAATGAATAAAAATCAAAAATCTAATCCAGTTTGCACTTTGTATGTCCGTCCTGCCATTCTAGGAATCAGCCTTTACTGCCCTCCCTCCATAGCCAAAACATCATTCTCAGATAAGGAGACCAAAACTGCACATGATGCTCCATGTATGGTCTCACCAAGGCTGTGTACAACTGCAGTGAGAAGTCTCACAGGCTGGACCACTTTATCTGAATTTCAGGAGAGGGGTTTCTACGTTAACGGCTCATGGGGTCCATTCTGGAAGTACTTCCAGGCACTGTCTTAGGCTTCAGAAAGGGTCAACTGTGTAGAAAAGAAAGTAATTGATCCTTTTGAAGGTTAACTACCACATCCTCCCTGGAAGATGCGTAATAATTTCCCTTGTATTTCCTTTGGCCGTGTTGGCGAATAATGGTTTTAGGATGAATGACTGTAAATCATGGCATGGTTTAAGTCTGGCAGGGTGTCAGGATGGCAGCTCAGAAGGTCTGGTGTCTTTGCTGACCTCATAGGTACCAGGCACTAACCCAAGTATATAAATAACATCACTGCCCACATCACTTATGAACCTGGGAAGCACCAAGGACAGGTGGATAAAGTGGTCAAGGAGGCATATGGTACAATTGACCAAGGCATAGAGTTTAATGCAGGGAGGTTATACTGGGACTGTACACAATGTTGGTTAGGTCACAGTTAGGGTATTGTGTGCTTTTCTGGCACCCGTATTAAAGGAGGAAGTGGTAGCTCTGGAGAGGGTGCAGAGGAGATTTACCAGGATGTTGCCTGGCCTCGAGAGTTTCAGTTATGAAGAGTGATTGGTCAGACTCAGGTTGTTTGCCTTGGAGCAGAGGAGATTGAGAGGGAACGTACTTGAGATGTACAAAATAATGAGGGACAGAGATAAGGTAGGCAGGAAGAAACTTTTCCCCTTGATGGAGGGATCATTGGCAGGGGCATAAATTTAAGGTAAAGGGCAGGAGGTTTAGAGGAGATGTGAGGAAAAACTTTTTCACTCAGAGCATGGTTGGAATCTGGAACTCACTGCCTCAAAGGATTGTAGAGGTGGAAACGCTGATATCATTGAAGAAGTATTTAGATAGGCATTTGCAAAGGCAAGGCATACAAGGCAATGGAACAAGAGCTGAAAAATGGGATTAGAATAGTTAGGTGGTTGTTCTTCTTTGGTGCTGACACGATTGGCTAAAGGACCTTTTCATTCACAGGATGAGGGTATCGCTGGTCAGGCCAGCATTTATTGCCCATCCCTAAGTGCCCAGAGGCCAATTATGAGTCAACCACATTGCTGTGGGTCTGGAGTCACATGTAGGCCAGAACAGATAAGACTGGCTGTTTCTTTCCCTAAAGGTCATTAGTGAACCAGATGGGTTTTTCCCAACAATAGGCAATTGATTCATGGTTGTCAGTAAACTCGTAATTCCAGATATTAATGAATTCAAATTCCACCAGCTGCCATGGCAGGATTCAAACCCGGGTTCACAGAACATTACCTGGGTCTCTGGATTAACAGTCCCGCGATAATACCACTAGGCTATTCCCTCCCCTGTTCTGTGCTGTCAATCTCTATGTCCTGATGACCACTGCTACAGGAACACAGGAAGCTCGAGAACAAGGATGGCTGCAGTTTTCGTGACATCAGGCCAAAACAGGTGCGGTCCAAGGTGAGGGATGGTAACTTCTGTTAAAGTCTCCCCCTGGATCTGGAGCCATAATTTTATCAAGGCTAGACCTACCCGTGCTAGATGAGGCCATGATACTGAGGAGGAGCTCACCAGATTTCATCCCGATATGTAGTCTTGAGGGTCAACCAATGGTAAAAAGCAGATAAGCTATTTAATCTTGGGACCTGATCTATTTAATTGTGAGGGCCAAGCTATTTCGTCATCGGGCAAAAAGCCTAATGGATTCTTTCAGGAACCTATAAAAAATCATTTGATACTGCTTCAAATAAGAACCAGGTAGTTATTTCTGGTGTCCCAACCAATATTTGTCCCTTAGCCAACATCTCGAATACTAGCTCTACCTAAATAAAGACATTTTATCAAAATTTTGTGCTTTGCACCTACCAGGACAATTCATAAGAAATACCAAAGTAAAGGGAAAATGCCTTATACTTTGCAAGAAGAGAGTGCTGATGGGTAGAGGCATTGCTGTTGAAATATTGCAGGTTATCTGGCTCTTAGGTCATTGCTGGTTGTGGCATCCCGTATTATAACAGAGACTGCAATTCTAAAGCGCTGTAGAAATGTAGAGATGTCTGGTCCTTAATCAGTTTAGCCCAACTGTTTAATTGTGAAAACTCAGCTCATTGACCGGAATAGCATTTCCCAGGTGACTCACAAAACTGGTGTCAAAACCTCCTCAAAAGCCCAATACAATCCTCTGATTTTCTTTTGCAGAAACTCAAAGGCAAAATACTGATAAAAGGGAAGAGGTTCAATGGCTCTGGACCCTCAGTGGATCAGGAGGAAACACCAGAGGATGAGGATGATGAGAATATGAACAATGGAGAAAAAAACAAAAAGGTACCCTGGGCAGGACCACTGTTGTAGCGACCATGTGTAATGATTCTGCAATTCACTGCAGCTCCAAACAAGATGAATTTAACCCTAACTCACCCTCTCATCAGTTACTCTGTGAAGTTTCTATAATATTTGAATATGAATGGATATCCAGTTGGGTGTATCAGGTAATGTTACACAAGATCCTACTGAGGCATGACCCAATAAGTGAAAAGCTCATTATTTTCTCAGTCAAGACATAACATTCATTTGGTCAGATTTAGGGGAGGCAGTAACATAATGTGGTTGTCAGTGAATTAATAATCAAGAGTCACCATCTGATGTTTTGGGGAACATGAGTTTGAACTCCATCATGTCAGAGGGTGAAATTTGAATGAGATAAAACATTTAAAATTAAAAAAAAAGTTTGTCTAAAGAATCCGTTTAGTTAACCAATATCCTTTAGGGAAGGAAATCTGCTGCCATGCTTACCTGGTCTGGTGTACATATGACTCCAGACCCACAGCAATATAGTTGACACTTCTCTGTGTATAGACATGTTCTGTTTCATCTGTGGTACTCCTTTCAGTTTAGGCCAAGGGCCACCACGTCACATAGGCCATTAGTCCTTATTTTCCAAGAAAAGTTTAATTTTTATGATTGATGCAGATTCTTAAAAATTTCTTTGAAACATTTTCCGAAACAGTTACAGATTCATGGGCATTTGAAGTAAATTTAAAATTTTCTTGACTGCATTGCTTCCAGGTCAAATGATGTCACAAATGCACTGCCTGAGAAAGTGCTGATAGCTAATTCAGTCATAGCTTTTAAATGAGAATCGGATAATTATCTAAAGAGAAAGTGTTCTAGTGCTGCTCAGGAAAGGTGGGGACGTGAGACTCACAAGTTGCTCCTGCAGAGAGCTGGAACAGACATGAGAGGCTGACTGTTGTAACTATTCAATGATTCTGATGTATGGTGCAAAGAACCTGTAGTTATGTATGATCGTTCACAACCTAAGGGAAGTCCTGTTTTTTACACCAATGAAATAGTTTTTAAATGTAGTCATTCTTAATAAAACAGGATTCAAAGCAACCAAGACCGCAGTGAGATAAAACACCCGGCCACCTACCTTCAGTGAGGCTGAGGAACAATTATTCATCAGGACATCAGGGAGAATTTCCCTGCTCTTAATTTAAATGATGGCCTAAAGATATTTAACACCATCCTGAGAAAGTAGACTCGGCCTCAGATTAATTACTCATCCGAATTTTGAACCATAATCATTTGACTCAGAGATGAAAGTGCCTCCCTTGAGCTATATCCAACACTGTAAAATATAGGGGAAGGTGTGAGGAGTTGTCAATAAGAGACAGAATACAGTAATCAATTGTTAGAGCTTGCATTACATTCCTGCTTCTTTTTAGATCTTTCCGTCAATTGATGAGGGACCCAGACAGGCCCTGCTCTTGTTGACATTGGCCTGGTCTACATTTGGGAGCGTGAGTTATTCTTGGATCTGAGAAAGTGCAATGACACATCCTCTGGAAGCTGTTCTAGTCAGTAACCCTGCTATGAATTATCTGCCCTAACTGGAAATGTTTTTTTTGTGTGTGGAATGTTGATAATGAATAGGGTGTTGACCTTCAGTGGTTCTTGTGTTGTATTCTAAAAGCATTTACTTTATTCCTGCTTTGGTTCCCCTTTGCAGAGCCTGCTTTCCCCGGAACCAGCAAACAACAAACAGGTCTGTCTTTTCTGACGTTCCCGTGAGATCCTAGTTCTGCCTGTCGACCACTTGAGGACAAATAAATCTACATGAATATCAGTCTGGAAAGCTTAGTTGTCCCTCTCTTTGTAACTTCCAGCAAAGCTAAGGGGAAAAGGCAGGAGAATGTCAGTAATTTAGCTGCTCAGAAAGCCAGTAGGGACATGTGGGTTGAATGGCTTCCTTCTGCCCCACAACAGCTATTGATTCTGTGATTGTTATACTGAGGGAGCATGGCTGCAAACACACTGCCCCCTGGTGAATAGCACCATTAATTATTTTGAAGAATGTGGGTATTGTTGCCTGGGTCAGCATTTATTGCCCGTCCCTAATTTCCTTGGAGAAGGTGATGGTAAGTAACCACCTTGAATCCTGCAGATCTTAAGGTGTAGGCACACCCACACTGCTATTAGGAAGGGAGTTCCAGGATTTTGACCCAGAAAAGAAACAGCAAAATATTTCCAAGTCAGGACAGTGTGTTGCTTAGAGGAGAATTTGCAGATAGATGTGATCCCATATCTCTGCTGCCCTTGATCTTCTCGGTGGTAGAGGTTGTGGATTTGCAAAGGGTCTTGGTGAATTTCTAGAGAGTGAATGCTGAGAATGTTTGATGTGATGCCAATCAAGAGGCCGGTTTTGTTCTGGATGTTGTTGAGTTTCTTGAGTATTGTGGAACGGCATGTAACTAGGCAAGTGGGAAATATTCCATCAAACTCCCGACTTGTACTTTGTAGATGATACTGAGAAGACGGGAGATAAGTTACTCATCACAGGATTCCTGGAGACTGACCTGCTGTCGCAGCCGCTATATTTATATGGCTAGTCCAGTTCAGTTTCTGCCCAGGCTGTTGATAGTGGGGGATTCAGTGATGGCAACACCATTAAATGTCAAGAGGAGATATTTGAATTTTCTTGTTGGAGATGGTCATTGCCTGGCACTTGTGTAGCACAAATGTTACTTGCTGCTTGTTAGTCCACGCCTAGATATTGTTCAGGTCTTGTTGCATTTGAACTAGGACTGCTTCTGTATCTGAGGACTTGTGGATGCTGGTGAGCATTGTGCAATCATCAGCAAACATGCCCACCTTTGACCTAATTATGGAGGGAAGGTCATTGATGAATCAGCTGAAGATGGTTGGGTCTAGGACACTGCCCTGAGGAACTCCTACTGAGATGACCTGGAGCTGAGATGACTTATCTCCAGACATCACAATCATGTTCCTATGTGCCAAGTACAACTCCAATCTCTGGAGAGTTTTCACCAGTTTCTGTTGATTCCAGTTTTGTTAGAGCTTCTTGCTGCTATATTTGGACGAATGTGGCCTTGATATCAAGGGGTGTCTCTCATCTCACCTCTGGAATTCAGCTCTTTTTTGTCCATGTCTGAGCCAAGGGCTGTAATGAGGTCAAGAGCTGAGCAGCCCTAGAGGAACCCAAACTGGGCGTCACTGAGCAGGTTATTGCTGAGGAGGTGTTGTTTGATAGCACTGTTGATGACACCTTCCATCACTTTACTGATGATCGAGAATAGATTGATGGGGCAATGACTGTTTGGGTTGGATTTGTTCTGATTTTTATGTACAGGACATACCTGGGCAATTTTCCACATTGTTGGGTAGATGCCAGTGTTGTAATTGTACTGGAACAGCTTGGCCAGGGGTGCAGCAAGTTCTGGAGCACAAGTTTTCAGTACTATTGCCAGATGTGTTCAGGGCCCATAGCCTTTGCAGTATTCAGTGTCTCCAACTATTTCTGAATATCATGTGGAGTGAATCGCATTGGTTTCAAACTGGTATCTCTGATGTTGAGGACCATGGGAGGAGGCCGAGATGGATCATCCACTTGGCATTTTTGGCTGCAGATTGCTGCAAATGCTTTAACTTTATCATTTGCACTGATGCGCTGGGTTGTCCTGCTGGAAATATTCAGCAGATGAGGTAACAACAATGTAAAAGAGATACAGTGAAAGTCACAGGTCTATAACCTATTATTTGAACTGCCCATCAACCTGACTCATTAATCCATGCTCCTACAGAGAGGCTGTCGGTGCTGCTCAGTGTCTCCAGCATTTTAAGCTTTTATCACAGATTTCCAGCATTTGCTATATTTTGGCTTCCTTTTTCGAGTGGGTTGTAGTGGGTGGGGGAGGGGTGGTTTGAGGGTATGATCTAGGGAGTCTCTATGCCTGGACTTTCTGACGGCAAGTCTGTTGTTATTCCAGCATAGATGGGAATTGAGCTAGGGGGAATCCCAATGTGGCACACTCCAAGGGAATTTCACAGAAAGTTGAAGATTCTGCTGAGCAATTTATAATCTGGAATCCTCCAAAAGTCAGCATGTTAAATTGGAGAATTTGGAAGGTCCCAATAAAATTAAGTGAAATAGTTACTCAGGAGAAGTTAGACGATTAAATACCTAGTTTGTTCCGCCTAATCATACTTAACCCCACGCCCCCACCCAACTATCAACACACACACACACACACACAGCCAGCCCCCATCTCACTACTGGACCCAACCCAGCCTGCCTGATACCCACCCACTAGAGCTGACTAGACATACCCACACTGCCAGACTGGTCTAGATCTGACTCCCTACCTACCATTGGACTCATCCCAATTTGCTACCCATACGCCCCCTTGGCAAGACCTGACCTGACACCCCGAGCGCCAACATGACCTCACACCCGACCCCTGACTCCAGATCTGACCCAACTGCCCCAGACTTGACAACCACCACACCGAATTTGTCCCACCCATCCTGACCTGCCCCCAATCACTTACCTTGCCACCTTGTCACCCTACCCACTTGGCACCATACCCTCTTCCCACTTGGTATCCTAACCACCCGGAACCCTATGCTGTACCCATCTGGCGCCCTATCCCTTGCACTCTAGTCCATCTCCAGCATGCACCCTTCCCAACAGGGATCTACTCACCTTGGACCCTCACATCCCACCCACCTATCACGGTACCCATCCAGCACCCCAACATCGCACTTACCTGTCAAAGTGGCTCTGAGTCTGTACCTTTAGATTTCAGAAAATAACAGCTGACTGCTGTGGAAAGGGAGTTAGGTTTGCTTTCCTTTTGACAGTTCTGTCCAACAGAAGAATTGTCAGAATGGAAACATATCTGCATTTCTGAAGGAGCCCTCATCGGATCAGAATGTGGAAATGAAAGTGGAGTGAGATAGCAAGAACTGCAGATGCTGGAGTCAGAGATAACAAAGTGTGGAGCTGGAGGAACACAGCAGGTTAGGCAGCATCAGAGGAGCAGGAAAGTTGATGTTTCAGGTTGGGACTGTTCTTCAGAAAGAAGGGGAATGCCTGATTTGAAGAGTATTAGCTATGAGAAGAGATTGGACAATGAGGAGTGACAAAATAGCTTACAAAAGATAGAAGTTTACAAACTTATGAGAGTCGTGAATAGAATGGACCAGAGGAGTCCTTTTCCCAGGTAGACATGTCAATTACTAGGGGACATAGGTTTAAGGTAAAAGGGGTTAGTTTAAAGGAGATATGAGAGGCAAGTGCTTTACACAGAGGGTGCTAAGTGCGTGGAATGCACTACCACTGGAGGTGGTGGAAGCAGATACAATAGCAACATTTAAGATGCATTTTGACAGATATATGAATAGGTAGGGAATTGAGGGATACAGACTGTACAGGAGCAAAAGGTTTTTGGTTTAGAATGGCATCACATGTTGGCACAGTCAAGGTGGGCTCTATTGTTCTTTATATCTTTAATCTTTGCAGAATTCCATTGGTCACTGACCTCCAGTCAGGAAAACACTACTCCAGAACTACCTACTGGCTTCTATGACCAAGCTAATTTGTATCCAACTTACCAGCTCACCATGGATCCCATTTGTCTTAATCTTCTGGACCAGCCTACCTTGCGGCACCTGATCAAATGCTTTAGTAAAGTTCTTATAGATAACATCCACTGCCCTACCCACATCAATCATCTTTGCCAGTTCCTCAAAAAATTCAATCAAATGTGTGTGACAAGACCGCCTTCACACAAAGCCATGTTCACTAATGTTAAGAAGTCCATTCTTTTCCAAATTGAGTAAATTTTGTACCCAATTGGCTCGCTCTTTCTGGATTCCATGTGATCTAACCTTCTAACCAGTCTACCTGCAGAACCTTGTCAAACACCTTGCTGAAGTCCATAAAGACAACATCTACTGCTCTGACTTCATCAATCTTCTTTATCACTTCTTCAATTAACTCAATCAAGTTAGTGAGACATGATTTCCCATGTACAAGATTATGTTGACCATCCCTAATCAATCCTTGCCTTTCCAAATACATGTAAATCCTGTCCCTCAGGATCCCCTGCTTACCCACCACTGGGTCATAGAATCCCTACAGTGTGGAAGTAGACCATTCAGCCTATTATGTCCACACAAACCCTCTGAAGAGCATCACACCCAGACCTACCCTATCCCTATAACCCTGCATTTCCCATGTCTAATCCACATAGCCTGCACATCCCTGGACACTTTGAGCACTTTAGCATGGCCAATCCACCCTAACTTGCACATCTTTGGACTGTGGAATGAAACCGGAGCACCCAGAGGAAACCCACAAAGATGCTGGGAGAATGTGCAAACTTGAAACAGACATGAGGGTGGAATTGAACCCTAGTTCCTGGTGCTGTGAAGTGGCAGTGTTAACCACTGAGCCACCATGCCGACTGATATTAGGCTCACCGATCTGCACCGATCCCCTGGCTTTTCCTTACCACCTTTCTTAAATAATGGCACCACATTAGCCAACCCGCAGTCTTCTGACACCTCACCTGTGGCTATCAATGATACAAATACCTCAGCAAGGAACCCAGCAATCTCTTCCCTAGCTTCCCATAAAGTCCTGGGATACACCTAATCAGGATCTGGGAATTTATCCAACTTAATGTGCTTTGAGACAGCACCCCCTCTTCTGTAATATGGACACTTTTCAGGATATCTCTA